GTCTTTATAATTGTCCAAAACAAAAAAAAAAAAAAGGTCGCGACTGTACCGTTCCTAACCGCCTACCCTCAAGTGGAGAGATTTTCCATTTACCTTACCACTATTGATCCATCTGCCGTCTTGGCCGTAGTCGCGACACGTACGGAGTACGTCTAATCTTGGTTCGCGGATCTGGTGGCTGCGTCAGTAATACTCGAGTGAAGAAAGGCTTCTTAGTTGCTCAACCAATAAGCCCCGTGGGAATATTAGTTACACCGTGCTTATCTAAAACCTTGATGACTATGTAAAATTTTCGCCATACTCAGCTTGGTCGATGTAAGACGGAGTGACTTTAACCTAGCGAGTAGATCCGCATATCATTAGTAGACGCCTTCACTCCCTAGTCCAGCAACACCGGGGGCTGATATTGGCACCAGGACGAGGCTGAGTGGGGATTAAGCCTGACAAGACTGAAATATAATTTACATTTTGTATCGGCAACGTTTTATACGACTTTGTCAGAAGTAGTAGCGGTACCTGTTGCTGCGCCTAATTTCTTAGTTTTGGAACACCCCTGCGACTGTCTTTTGTCTAGGGTTACCCGTTGTAATGATAGGTATTCGCCTAACTCCAACTCTTATTCGAGTATATAGTTTCGTTATCGGGTTTCTGGTACATGAACAATACATCGGGTCATATTGTCAGCACCGTCTGCTAGGTTTCTGTACTAGCGAATCATGCCGGCGGTTACTCCTTTCTCCTCGTCTCATTCCCACTTGCTGACTTCTTGATCAGTCAGGCAGAAGCCTGGAAGGAACTGCAATATTTTCAACGACTCGCCACTACCAACAATACTGACGCAGAGCTAGTACGAATGTTACCCAATATCCGTCGGTTCCATAGTTTGCCTCGCGGGAACTGGCCCTCGCATACCGTTCCGGGTTTCTCAAACCCCCCTGCCTTGGCTTACCATCGTTTGAGCTTTACACGTTTGGCGGGGAGATGGAAGCCATTGGCCTATCACTTCTTGCGCCATGTAGCTAAAAATATAAAAGGTTGCGAATGCCATGAGATTCAAGAAACATCACACCACAGCACATCATTACTCTTATACCGTCTTCGCCGACATGGACCCTCTACTTAACTCTACCATGGCTGGTCCCAGGACCCAGATGGTTTCCAGTTTGGTTACTGGAGCTCGAGACCTCGGTTTCTTTTATGCATCTACCGCTATTGCTCTTACTGCGGTGCTTTTAGGTGGATTTGAGTTTGGCCGTAAAATTCTAAATCGTATATTGTGGTTTTTTGATGGCCTGCTGGGTGGTGCTCCCCATACAGTCTCGCTTCCAGGTCCTCCTGGTCTGCCCATCGTTGGAAATCTTTTTGAGGTTTGTATTCCACGCGATGAAATCTCTTCCATATCTAACATCTCTAGTAGCTAAGCAATGGCCATGTCCCAAAGATTGCTGAGTGGACCAAAAAGTATGGTGATGTTATCCGGGTGTCACTTGGTGGGCGTGAAGCGGTATGTCATAACAACTGCATTTCTTGAAAAGAGTTTATAAACTAATGTATAGCTGAATAGGTCTTTATTAACAGCCACAAGGCTCTCTCCAAGACCATTGTCAAGCAAGGTCCGGCATACCAATCAAGGCCCACGTTCAAGCTCTTTCATCAGGATTTTGCCTCATCTGGTATTTGGACTGTTGGCACCTCACCATTTAGCGAGCGTCTTGTCCGTACTCGCAAGGCGCTCTCTACCCAGATTGCTCCTCGCCTCCTACCAATCTACACACCCGTCATTCACCCCAAGCTGAAAAAGCTGATTGGTGAAATTCTCACTCTTAGCCAAGGAAATGCTGTTGATATGGCCGAGAAGCTTCACCGCTTCGGTACTGGCCAAGTGTCTGAACAACTCATGGGTACTCCTCTCGATGATGACATAGTAGGGATGCTCGCGGAAAACGAGACAAACATCTGTAAGTATTTCTTGGGCTTAAACCTATGCTTTTCTTGCTAGGCCTCCCTTTTTTTTTCACCCTCCTTCCAAATATAGCAGTTGATTAACAGTTCAACTTAGTTCGCCAGCGTACTGTGGGTTCACCAGCTCGTGATTACATTCCTATTTTGAGCGGTGCTAGTTGGCTTCGCTACCTGGCTGGAAAGACGCTGGGCATCAAAAGCTGGTCATATGATGAGAAGGAAGAGAAGGCTCGCGAATACCGCAGGACGCAGCAAGTCTACATCAATAAGATGCTTGGCGAGCTAAAGCAGCGTATCGAAAACGGAGACCAGACTCCGTCAATTCTGGGCAATATTCTTCGCCAGGGTCTGTTGAAAGATGAAGAGGTTCTTCTGGCTTCTTATACCGGCAGTAAGGCAACCAGCCATCCCCCTTCATCCCTTCGCTTCTCTTTCTTCACTTGATCTGTTGAGCACAGCATCTGACATCTCTTGACAGTTGCCGCGGGAGTCAATCTTGGCTACTCGCTTACTTGGATTATTGGTTATCTTGCCAACAGGCCAGACCTGCAGGAAAACGGCTACGAAGCTATCCGTGAGGTGTACAACGGCGAACCACCTAAGCCTCACAAATACGATCGAGTTGAATATGTCAAGGCCCTGCATACTGTTAGTAGCTTTTCTCTAAACCTCATCTACTTGCAAAAATTGACCTAAATGTAGGAGGGCTCTCGTATATACACGCCAGTTCGACTTGGTTTTCCCCGGCAGACCCTTGATGGTGCTAGTTATGACGGGCATGAGATCCCTCCTGGAATGGTATGTCTAATTTTGCCTATAGTTTTATCCGTATTCTTCACTCAACACTAACCTCTCCTTCTCAGCTTGTTATCATGAACCTAATGGCCGCCAACCGAGATCCAATTTCCTTTGATAACCCAAATGAATTCATACCTGAGCGGTGGCTGAACGGCCGCAAGGGTCGCACCGACAGTTTTACTGAAGGTGGCGACAAGCTTGGCGTAACACATTTGACGTACGGCTGTGGTCGGCGTGTCTGTCCTGGCATTGATAGTACGTTTGGTCACTTGTTTATATACCTGTTGTCGTGAGCTAACAATTCTCGTAGTGGCCAATCGTGGCCTCTACTCCACACTCGTCCTCCTACTACACTTCTTTACTTGGGAGCGGCAACCTCTTGGGGAGGAGGAGAAGAAACTAGTTTTCCCACCCTTCCGTGCCGAGCGTGAGTGCTCGCTTGAAATGGACGCAATTGCTGATACCGCTACACCCACAGAGGCTCAGGCCATTCCATGGTCGGCTGGTATTAAGTTCCATTGCCGTGATCCTGAAGGTCTTCGCGCCTGGATTGCGTCTGAGGAGACCTAGAAGCCTCTTTTGATACAAGAGACAAAAACGTGTTGTTTTTTGTGTCGCGGGTGTTTTAAGGCCTAATTGTTTCATAATAGAGAAATGTGTCTCTTGTTATAATTCTATGGATAGACTTACAGGCAAGACCTATAAAGTGGTTTTTTTTTTCCTGGAAAAGGGGTGAAGGGGTGGTTATTAGGCAGAGTAGATGCGTGACTCAATTATATATGAACAAATAAGTTGGCAATTATAACTATTATCCCGATATTTGTAAACGCTTCCAAAATATCTCGACGTGATTATACATTATTTCCCTCATGTGCTTCATGTGCAATAACTACAGACCTATTACCCGTCACAAGCTTGAACTCGGTTAACTTTTCCGAGTATGCAACGATTCTAAGGTGGACTTGGTAGCTTGGAAGAAGAATCTGTATAATCTCACACAGTACGAGCGAAGCTGGCTCTTTGTAATGCAATTCTTTTGTGTTTGCATATGAACTGGAAGGAAGCTGTCTAAATTATAGGTCCATGTTGCTACGGCTAGCCTATACAGCCACGGCCATTCCTCAGATTATGAAGTCGATGAATGAAGCGGTACGACTCAAAGGCTCTCGACTCAGGGCGCCGCAACAGTCTTGCGGGCGCGGAGAAGAGCCTAACAATAAGAGTCATGCCATCTTGGCAACGGAAGGTGGGCCATCCGGCCCAGACGTTGAAGCACAATTCGCGAGAAGCTGCGCTGTAGTACAAGCCACGAGTCGATTAAGTGCAGCACGTTTCAGCAGATGAGAAACTAAGTTAATCAAAGCCTCAACTGCGGAGTGCGAGCATTTTCACCAGCTTATCATTGCGGCCTATCACGAGTCATTGACGTAGCCTTAGCGTCGAAACTTCATTTAGCGCAGCTAGATTAACCAGGGTATCCCAAGTGGCAAGTCCCCTGTTGAGAAGCGATAGCAAAAAGCACTCGGTCTTTTGGGGGGTGTATTATTTCCTACAAAAGTAATAATACAAAGACAACATCCTATTAAGCAGTCAGCTATAACGCTGGTAATAAATCACACCCGGCTACGTGCTTAAATGCCCGGTGGCCTTTTCGTTACAAGACATATGAATAGAATAAATAAAATTTGACAACAGCCTTACTGAGTCAGCCTTCTCAATTTTCTCGGTAGTAGTGGTGATAGGTTCCACAACCTACATTCAACCGTTTGAAGATTGTTTCAAACTCAACTTCTGTGTTACTATTGAGGTTAGATCTGTTTCCAGAAGACTACTAGAAACAAAGCGCATTATCCTGGAATATATTAAGTACAGAAGAAGGAAGATAATTCTTCGCTTGATAGCTCTCTATGTACTCTAGCTCTGGAAGCTACATTGGTCTAAGCATACTTTTCTATTTCCAACTGCAATAATTAGCATCCGACTTTTCATTCAACACTTGTATTAAAATCCTTCAGCAGGTATGAAGGTTGTTCACCTCACATGTTGGCTCTCGAGCCAGCTACTGCTTGTTAGCAGCCAGGCTACTGCCCAGCCAGGAGTGAAGTTAGAAGTTAGCGAGATCCAGAAGATCACAGACGCTTCTCAGGGTGGCTTCCGCCCTTTTATCGAGTTTTCAGTTGCAGGCCAGGTCATGAGAGGCTTGCTTGATACAGGAAGTAGTGACTTGAATATTCCGAAAACGGGAAGCGACTTTTGTCGTAGCGAAGGAGAGCAGTGTGATGGACGTGCCACGGGCTTCAAGGCCGGATCCCTCGACGTCAATAAGAACAAAACCCAAATTCGAGATCTGAACCTTCCTCTTAACGCAACTTTTACCGGAGGGGCCGCATTCGTTGGTAAATTTATCGAAAGCTCTCTTCAGGTCACCCCCGGCGGAAAAGCAGTTCCCGTGCAGATGGGCCTCGTGGAATCAGGAGGCGTGCCTCCCGGCCAAGTCAGCTTTCCAGTCATGGGTATTGGCCCAGTTCAAGGAGAATCTACGAATAATCTATATCCAAATGTCCCGGCTCGGTTTAAACAAGACAGCCTGAGCAGATCGAACGCATACGGTCTTTATCTCGGTGACTTCCGTAAGTATATTATTTAAACCCCATTTACACACTCTCTTGGTCCAATTATGTAGTGGATCAACTGCTCTGGAAAATATTGATGGCCTTCAAATCATGAACTGATGCTAATTCCGTTTCTAGGATCTCCTGACAATGGAAGTTTGGTTTGGGGTGGATTCGACGCCGCTAAATGCGAGGGTGAGCTTAAAATCGCACCATTAGTTGCAACCGAAGACGGGGCTTTGCCCTCGTTCGTCGTGGATTTTAGCTCAGTTGGCTTGGCCCCCTCTAGGGATACAGGACGAGGCAATAATTCGCAAGAACGCCCTAGTCGACAAGAAGGGTCGTTTCCCGAATCCGACGACAGCATATCATGGTCAGGGGAGTTTAAGAGGTCTGTGTTCACGAGTCACCGTCTAGATAACGCCCGAGTCCCATCATATGTGCACACCTCCCAGGGCCTGTCGGCACGAGATTTATTGCGGCGACAACGGAGAGGGAATCTGTTATCCAACGATGCACCTCCGGTAGCGTGGCTTGATACCGGTGTGCCTTCAATCGTCCTCCCCGCTGGAACATTAGATGCACTGGGGAAGAGACTCGGCGCGCGACCCGGGCCGCAAGGCGAGTTCCTTGCAGACTGTAGCCGTATACGGGGTATGGATCTAACGCTTGGATTGAACAAAGACAATGTTCAAGTGAGGGTGCCTCTTGATTCCATCATTGCTACACCTGATCCTGGACGTGGCGCAAGAGAGCCCGGCAATGCTAGACTTGGCAATTCAAGACAGCCCCAGAAGGACAGAAATCGGGGAGGCGCCAACAACCAGAATAATAGGAAGGACCGTGGAGGGAATCGACAGGGCAGCAGTACCCCGAAGGGTAATAGCAAAGGAAACAATAATAATATCGGCAGCGGCGCCTCACCGGGCTCTGATCGTGCTGAGACTTGTGAGCTCGCCCTAGCGCCTGTTGAGGGCGACGGACCTACAGATATTCCTGTTCTTGGAGCACCGGCACTACAAAGCATGTATGTTGTATTTGACATGGATTCTAAAGCCCTGATGATAGCCCAAGCGAAGATGAACGAAACGAAGACTGATATACGGGAGTACATTGCGGCTGGTGGAGGTTGAATGTGTGTTGGAACCAATACAGAACTATTTTTGAATATAAATAGTACTGCATTTTATCACAAAAAGGCCGCGCTCTAATTGACAACTATACCCCCTTATATTCCGTATTTTAGCCAACATTCATATGGAATCTTCCGACCTGTTGGATATAATCTATTCGTATCATGACACTTGCGCCCGCATTGAGGGTTATGATTGTTAAACTATTACCTACTATTGTTGTCTAAAAGATTACGGATATATTATTCGCAAAATCAGTTCTATCAAAATACTGTTGGGGTATTATTTCTTCCAACAGCTTCGAGAATTCGTTTGGCAATAGTTATTTGCAGCTGGTCAAGAGTCCGAGCCGCCATGCCCGATACTTTAGAAATCACAGTCAGAGTGTCGAGAATCGTAGAAGCCATTAGCCATGCAGTGCTAACTGAGAGCTCTCCTGCGGTGTGGAGATCTAGTATTTTGTTGGCGGTATTAGAAAGAATATCGACGGTTGTTTCTGGAAATGGATCCCGAAGGTCAAGGTTTGGAAAGTCCATGTCGGTCACAAGCCACTGACTAGGGTTGCTAATAAGAGAAGCGGCTTCGACAATAGCTTGGACGCTTGTAATACTTGGTGGCCCCGGTGCTGTTAACGTCTCAGCACTCCTAGTTCGCTAGAGCAGGTTAATCAGCTCCAAAGCGCCCCAGTGAAAGTGTGTAACTAGTAGAACTAGAATATCAGCTACCATCCAATATCTAGATGCGGACAAGTTCTGTGAGCAACTTACAATAGTGGAGCTGGGCTTCCTGGCCAAGGGTCTGAAAATTCCTCGAGCAAATATCTAAGAAAGGCGCAAAGACACCTTGGAAATGATGATATTCTTGAAGAGCCTTCTCAATAGTCTGTGTCACTAACTCATCCCCAATTTGATAGTATAATGCATTGTGGACGCGGACTATATTCCACCAAAACATGGTTTTACAAGCCGAGGCGTTCTGCAAGATAATTGACACGACTTCCGGCGGCAGCACTTCTGAAGTAGAATGCAGGTGTCTAAAGGACTTGTCAAAAACATTAGCTCGCTCCCTAATATACCCCCACCCTTTTGTCTCTGCCGACCGACCTGCTAGAAGCTCGAGTGGTCGATGACTCCTAATGGGCCTTGTGACATCACTAATACATCCGAGCCAAAACGGGTTACTATAGATTAAAGGAATTTGGTGTAGACACTTCTGGCAAGACCCAGGACGTTACTTCTATCCCAATCACCATTACTGTAGGGGAACAGAATTGCTTTACGCTAGAGTTCGCCAGGTTGCTAACATATATACTTTGGTATTAAACTCTATGCATTTATAGACAAGCACTAACATCGACAAGCTTAATTGCCTAGATAGGTTATAATAGGTAACTAATTACTTGATAGTTCCTAAGTACATATATAGAGATAAGAGTAGTAAGAATAATAATAGAGTACTAATTTCCAATCCGAGGGATGGAATTACAAGAAATTGTGCAATACACAGCATGTACCCCGTATCCCAAGACACCAAATGACATCTGTTCATTACTCGATCAATACTACAACACTTGCATTGATTTTTTTCTCCGGTCATAGGCAGATGTCCACTTTGCCATCATCCGTATTAACAAACCGTACAATATACCATGACAACATGTCAGTCCTAGGTATTATTAACGTAAAGCAAAATTGCTCTCCGACAGTTTAAGCCAGAGATATCGGCTTTGGTTTTGAGTAAACTCCGAGCTACAATAGTATAAAGTATGGCGAATGTTCGCCCTCATACTAGAAGCTGCCAAGAACGAAAGACAGACTGTAGCATTGCAAGCAACAATTGACTTACGTCTTAGACCAACCAATAATACGACCACCAGCCAACCAACTCCTTTCAAAATGGCTGAAGCTCTCAATATCCCGAAGCACTCCATCTTTCACTGTCATCTGCCAACGCTTCAAAGGATTTCGTCGTCCCCAACCCTGCGACCGGAGGGATCCTGACAACTGTTCGTGGAGGAGATGCTGCTACCACAAATGCAGCCATCGATGCTTCCTCCAAGGCCTTTGACAGCTGGAAGCAGCGAAGTTTGGCAGATCGCGGGCAAACCTTGTTGAATTGCTCTGCCGCTCTTGAGACGCAAAAGCAAGAGCTTACAAACCTGCTCTGCGCCGAGAACGGAAAGCCAGCTCTCGACGCGGCTTTGGATGTGGCCTTTATCATCCAGGTCTTTGGTTTCTTCGGCTCCTTGATCGACAAGCTTCCTGGACAGTTCATGATCGCGGAGTCGTCTATTCTTCCGTTATCCGGGAGCCGCTTGGTGTGTGCACTGGCATTCTGCCATTCAACTGGCCGCCGATTCATGCAGGCGGCAAAATTGCACCATGCATAGCCGCTAGCAGCACCATCATCATCAAACCGGGAGAACAGGCTCCCTTGACAGTGATGCGGATCATCGAGATCCTACAAACCGTCCTCCCCAAGGGCGTTGTGCAGGCCATCCCAGGAGCTGGAGCTGAGGTCGCACAGCTGCTCATTGAGAGCCCTGCAGTCAAGATGATCTCGCTGACTGGATCTACTGCTGCCGGCGCTGCTGTCGCTAAAACGGCTTCGAAGCTTGTCAAGCGCACCGCGTTGGAGATTGGTGGCAAGAACGCATTCATTGTCTTTGACGACTGCGATATGGATCGAGCGGTCAAGGGTGCTTTGGAGGGCGCCTATCTTAGTAAGGGTGAGGCGTGTACTGCAGCATCGAGATTACTGGTGCATGAAAAGCTCTACGATGAGTTCGTCAATAGACTGGCCGCTGCAGTACGCGGATTGCGAGTCGGAAATGGATTTGACGAGCAGGAACGGTCTGGTCAAAAGTTACATTGCCTTGGGAAGTGAAGAGGGTGCCAAGATTGCGGCCCAGGCTGACTTGCCTTCGGACCCTTCCCTTAAGGACGGCTACTTCGTCGCGCTGACGCTTTTTAGGGACGTGGTACGCACAATGCGCATCGCCCAAGAGGAAATATTTGGCCCTGTGGCGACTGTTTGCTCGTTCAGTAGCGAGGAAGAGGCTGTCTTTGTTGTTAACGAGTCGCGATACGGACTTGTGGCCGTAATTTGGGCATACCCAACGGTAGCCAATAGTACCTAGGCGGCTTGCCAGCTTTTATAATTGACACAGTCTAATCCCAACAAATCCCAGAGTCTTGGGAGATACGGCTAACGACTTCATACCCGAGCGCTGGCTAGCTGACAACGCTGCCGCGGTCCCTCCAGTTGTTAGAGGAGCTTTACACTGTCGGTATTCATATAATATCGCTGCTGAATATTCTTTGGATGGCCAAGGGAAGAATGATGTAGATAAGACAAGTGACATTGAAGCTTGTCAGTGGAATGATGAAGAAGCCGAGGCCAGCCAACTCCCAAGAAAGCAGGACTTAGATTGTAAAGGGAGAGACTGAGAAATTCTGAGCGAAAGTACAGGAATTGGGCTGCATTTCCTATCAAATGCCGAGGACCATATCTTGCCGATATAGGGGATGGGTGGCTTTTTTACAACGCAGCTACGTCCTCTGATTCACTACCAAGGACCAGGCTCAAGTGAGCATTGACAACTTCCCACATGTGGTTTCCTCACTACTGTTATAAATAAGCAAATCGACAATACGTACCAGGCTCAATTGCAACAGGTTCCTAGCGGTGGTGACCTCGCTACAGCGGGGAGACAAGTGCTCGAAGTTGCCAATTACATGCATCAAAACGGCCGATGTGTGTAGCGTAGCTACTGCTGGCAGGTAGCAAACCATATTATCCTCCACTTTCAGTAGCAGATGTGCTTGGGAGACCTGACTCTGTGCGAATTGCCTCACAGACGCTGAATGAAATCCTGCAACTATTACACCCATACGCCACTCAACTACGAATTGGGTCCGGTAGTCTTGCGGTGTAAAGTAGCCAAAGTTCCCCTACATCCAATATTCACTTGGTGAAGTCCGTCGCCTGTCCGAATTTCCTAGTGTTCGGTTACATCCTGATGCGCAACTCTGATAGACTCGGCTTTCGTGCTACAAGTTACCACTTGGCACTCGGCGTTACAGATGGCACTATGTCATTAAAGCCGATCAATGGTCTGGCTCCGACCAGGCGCAATGGTGGGACTCACTCATTGGATCAACCCCAAAGGAAATAGTTATGCCGAAGCCGAAACGCCTGAATAGGTGATGCTCAACCCCTCTGCTGCTCCGGATCAGCCGGAGCTATTGATCGCCGCCCCGAAAACACTATTTGTTCCAGCTTAATCCCAATTCCGAAAGAGGCGTGCGCTAGCTGCATCTTGTCAAGACGCAGTGAGCTTGCGTTGGAAAGATGATATTTTAAAGGGATGCTAGAACCACGTCGAACATGTTGCCCCTCGGAACATTTTTCTTCGCACAGCACGGGCTGGCTTTCAACTAGTAACTTGCCTTACTCTTATCAACATCTCGCCACTTGACGTCTTTAACAATGGCTGCGCTTCCCAAGACTTTCAAAGCTGTCGTTCTCACAGAGACCAACGCCCCATTCAAGCTGCAAGACGTAGAGCTCCAGCACCCAGGCCCCGGCCAAGTTCTCGTCAAAGTCCTTGCGTGCGGCGTGTGCTTTTCGGACGTTGCCGTGGCTGGGGGCCATATGGGAGACGTCTTCCCCCGAACACCAGGACATGAGATTGTGGGCGATGTCGTTGAGCTTGGCCAAGGCGTGAGCCATATTTCCAAAGGTCAGCGCGTTGGTGGTCCCTGGCATGGCGGCCACGATGGCCACTGTCGACAATGCCAGCGTAGCCAATTTCAAATGTGCGATAATGAGCTCGTCAATGGATGCTCCAAGGATGGCGGCTTTGCAGAATACGTCCTCCTCCGCCAGGAGGCTGTTGTTCGTATCCCCAACGACTCGGACCCGGCAGAGGTTGCTCCGTTGCTGTGTGCCGGTGTCACGGTGTTTAACGGCATTCGCAAGATGCACGTTGAGCAGGGCGCACTGGTAGCTGTCCAAGGGCTTGGAGGCCTGGGCCATCTTGCTGTACAATATGCCCATAAGATGGGCTATGAGGTTGCCGTTCTCTCGTCTGGGGACGACAAGGCTGATTTTGCCAAACAGCTGGGTGCTCACCATTACATCAACACGAAGAATTCTGATGGTCCCGCTGAGCTCAAAAAGCTCGGTGGCGCTGCCATTATTGTTCAGACGGCCCCCAATCCCGAAGTCGTTGGGAAACTGGTGGGCGGTCTAGCTCCAGGAGGCAAGCTTCTTTGTCTAGCCGCGGTTGGTGGTGTTCAATTTGATACAGTTGCCATGGTACTCGGCGGTTTGAGCGTATGTGGCTGGCCTTCAGGTCATGCATTGGACAGCGAGGAGGCCATACGTTTCGCCCGAACCCATGATATCAAATGCATGATTGAGAAGTATTCTCTTGCCGATGTTCAAAAGGCTGTTGACAGCCTGGTAGCTGGCAAGCCTCGATTTCGCAATGTTCTCGTTATGCAGTAGCGGCTTGACGTTCTGCGTAACACTGAAAACAGAAACGGGCGACATCAAAGGGAGAGAAAATTGGGAACGTCCAAGACGGTGTGCTTGTTATGGAACTGAGGTACAAAGTAGCAAAATTTGCAACTGCCAAATTGCTGTCGGATTTCGTGTACTATTATATACCGATATAGACTGGTCACGATAGCATTAATGATATTGACCTCTCACATATTACTGTTCATTTCATTATCGTGCGTGGGCTATGCTTGTCCCTTCGGGAAGGCTGCTAGTCCTACGAGATGCAAATAAGTTGCAAACTATATACAATTCGCCATGCTAAATCGGATCCTATGTTACAGAAGCATCCGGTCTTTCTTTATCGGTGCCTTGTCGAAATAGACTACCACTCCACCTTTCTCATCCAACTCTGCGCCCTTGTCCGAGATGGGCGTGTATTTCTTCGTATGGGCAACCTCTTGTCTGCTGACTCTGGCCTCGTCTCGAGGTATCCATAAAGTAGGTTTTGGCGCCCACATCTCCGGCGGAAGGTAGCATCGCTTCCTAAACTCGGATGGGTACTCAACATGACGGAGTTGATCCCCAGGTATGGTATTTCGCAAAGCAACAAAATCCTCGTACTCTTCTGGATGAAGCCATCGTGCCAGGAAGCCCGGTGGTTTGTCATTAGCATGCTTGTCATGTTTCCAGAATTGAATCCTGGCTAGGAATTCCTGTACGTCTGGGCTGTTGATCGTCTTGTTGACTTTGGCTTGGGTTGTAGCCTTGGCCCATTCTTTCAGTGTAGACCCAATGCTAGCTGCACCTTCAACGGCTCTGGTTCCCGTAACGGGGCCATGTTCGTCCCCAGACTCCTCTTCTTCTTCCTCTTCCTCAGTATCCGACTGTTCCATCTGTTCCTCGTCGCCAAAGACTTGTTCGGAGTCATAGTAGTCGTTTGCCGCGCCCGCAACTCCGCTTTCCCCTTCCAACCTCGCCGTGGCAAGTTCCTTCTCCCGTAAAGCCTTTGCCTTTTCTTCTTCTTGGATTTCGCCTTCGAGAGGCAATGTCTGCGGCAAATTGAGTAGAAGGGGGGCAATTGCGTCGCTGAGGGAGAATTGCACTAGGCCCGTAAAAATGAAGAACAAGACCATTAATGCCAAAGGCGCAAAAGCACCTTTCAACGCGAACAGGCCTATAAGACAAATTTCGGCAAGATAGAGGCCAATTGTCAGGTGAATGAGAGCCCGAGGATAAAACAACCCCTTCGTGTCCATATCAGAGTCTAGTACATAGAGGAGATTGTACTTCCAAACCACTTGTGTTGCAAACAATCCTCCAGCGGCAAAGAGAAGGACTAGCGGGGCAATGCAGGAGTAGCTGAGGGCTAAAACGCCAAAGTCAGTATGCATTTATTTGAGTAAGGATTTGCAACCGCGTCATCAAGATAAACTTACCAATCACGCCCATATTGGTATAGACAGGATACACACCACCCCAATATGCAGATTCGAGCTTGCACCAGCGCTTGTATCTCGTACGAGGTACCTCGCTCACACGGCCGACAATGTAATGCCGAATTAATCCAAAAACTTGGATAAGGCGCATTCCTCCACTCATCAGGCACTGAATCATTATGTAGGACAGGTAAAAGTTGGATGCCTTGGGAATATTTTCGGCAAGGAGATCTTTTGTGCCCAGAGGGTTCGACAAAATCTTTCCCAGAGCTGACGACGCTGCGGAAGTGAGGGTGGTAATGAGGAAGACTTGAACGACCTGAAAGGCAAAATACACATTTTGGACGAATAATTCGACTCGTGTTATCGTCGGAATACCAGACTGGGCACCGCAGACTGAAATGGAATGTCAGATCCTCCAGAAAACTCGGCGGTCATCAAGATGTAGACAATACTTACATCGAAGCATCCAAGGCACTGCAGCCATCCACAGGGACAAGACCACTGCGGGCATAAAGCTTTGGATAAAGTTTAAAATCACACCAGGTAGCTTATTCAGGAAGCTGAGAAACTCGATCTTCTGCGTCAGACTGTCGATATTGCTAATTGTGCCAATAAAAGCGGACGGGACCGCCCAAAAGATTATTGCCGCCGTTACCAAGGTCAAGATGCCGAAGCGTCGGATGATCAGTTCCCACCACGGCATTCTTAGGCAGGACCATATGATTTCGTCTGGCCGAATGCCGAGCAGGCGCGACGACATTTGCAACGGTCGGTGGTGAGTCAATACTTGATGTGCCGCTTGTGCAGCTTCCTGCGTATAAAATTCGATAAAAACCGACGGCAAGGTGATGCCATCGCCTCGTCGGACTTGTCGGCGCATCTTGAAAATTTGTAGATTGAGATCTCGCAGTCGTGAGCGTGTCCATCGTATCGTATCAACGCGGCGGCCAAAGTTACCAATTGGCCGATGGTATGGTCGTCGTTCGACCGGAATCCATTGGGCGGCAACAGATCCTCTGACATCCGGGAGATCCATCGACAGACCGTAAGGGTGCTCATACTCGTCATCAACTTGGTCCAATTTTTCGTTCTCATCCGCAGTGATATTGTTCAGTTTGGTGCCTTCATGCTGGCTCGTGTGGCTGTCTTTATCGGGATCGCGTCGTAAAGATTCCAAGCAAGTTATTGACCCTGGTGATTCCGCCTCGTCCGGATCGCCCCTACAAGTAGCATTGGCAGTGCTATCACTCGGGATCACAACCAAGTCTTGCTTCGAGCCGGCCGATTCAGTGGTGGATGCTGCGGCGGTAGAAGAATCTGCCAGCTTCGGATCCTTGGCCAGTTTCTTTTGTCGAGCCAGGTTCGCGATTCGGATAAGCGCAATCTCGGCCTTCTCCAGTCGCTCAGCAGTTTGTTCGCGCTCTTTTACCATTTTTACGAGGGCTTTGGATGTTCGCGGAATAAACACACGCCTCAGCGAGTCTCCATACAGCTTCCGGAGACGACGCTCGTCCAGGTACTCTTTTGGGACACATGTAAGTAGAATCGTGCGGGAGGAGATGCGGTCTGCATAGTACGGTGAAGAAAGGTACGCCTGGCGAAGGTTGACATAGTAGATACACTCTCGTACGATCATGTAAAGCACGAACCCTTCAAAAATGGCAGGATTAGCATTAGCTTCGTCGCAAGTACACCCGCAACAAGGCTCGGGAAATGGTCCAAGGAGAGCTCAGATGTCATACCAAAGAAGGCCCACGCCACGAAGACGTGGGCGAGTAGCTTTTGAGGATCCTTGACATTGCCTATAGTCAACATTTCCAACTGGGTAAGACCACTCCCCCCTGTGGCGTGGATCGGAAATAGCACGGGAAACGTGATGAGGCAGCCAGCAAGACAAATGTTGCGTAGGATCTTTAAGAATCTTAGGAAGAAGAAGCCGTCAAGGGACCCATGGTTCAAGACGATTGTGTCCGGTGTCTTGAAAAAGGGAACAATCCAATCCAGCCATCCTCCAGGTAGAGCTGGGCTGGGCACGCTGCTCGCAGTGGTCAGTACGACATGTATACATGGCCCCAGGACTCGAGAGTGCGCGTCGCATAGCATAGGAATCTTACTCGGGGCTTCTCAGCTCTGGGATGGTCCTCGGTGCATACACACGTTTGCAGAACCGGCGCAGAACGGTAAATATGACGAGACACACGGCCGTAAAGATAGATACAGGTATAAATGTTGTGCCCAACTTGCCGAGTGATGATCCTTTGCTACCTGCCGTCTGGCTAAGAGTTCCGCCGCCTGAAGAGTCGTTTCGCGCAGATCCCTGCCTTGGATCTTGGGAACCGCCCTACGAAGACCAAGAGTCAGTTTTGGTGTGCAGGTCGACTGTGTAGTGTCCTGTCTTCCATCTTGGTTCAACGTCGTGACGCTACACCAGGATTCACACTCCCAGTGCGCAAGACAGCCAAGAGCGCCGAAACCAACGTACCACGTCCAGATCCAAGCCGCGAGTCTCGATGAAGTGCCATAGGTGCGATATGGCAGCGTCCGTCAGGTGAGGTGCGGAGTCGAGGGCCATTATGAGGCAACACGCGCAGCATCGTTACTCTGCCATGAAGAGAGAGGTGAGTAATGGTAGCTCGGCGAGGAAGATGAGGGATGTAGAAACACAGCGGCCGAAGCTGGAAGCAAAAAGATGGTTACAAGGAGTCCGTCCGACCGTGGGGCGGGAAACAGCTGAGAATCGATATGGAATCGATCGACCATGGCACCGGATAAGGACCCAAACCGCCAAATTGCAATCTGTAAAAAGGCAGGCAAGTCCCGCCCTTGTCCAACCAGATGGGAACATTTGAGTCAACAGAACATAGGCCTCCGATGATTCTTCTCCCATTCGGCCATGGCATGAAGGCGGAGGCGCCGGTTTTCCCGCATCTTGCGCTAAGAAATGAGAGCGCCGCAAGACGCCGCGGGCCCTGTCACTGGATTTGCTTTTTCCTGAATCAAGAAAATACAGCCCATTAAGTAGACAGGGGCCTGGTAGTTAGTTGGTACGGAGTACTCCGTAGGGTGGTGGGCGGTTCCTGGGTTCGACGTTCTGTGGAGAGTTGAGAGAGTCTCGGACCACACTCCCACCTCATCATCAGGTCCCTGTCGACGCGCCACCAATCAAGTCGAGACGGATTGGGTGTTGGGGTGCCGACTGAATCGCCCATGTTTCCACTCAGACTGCTCCGTGGTCCGAAGCAGATCGTGATCCATGGCTCGGGGACGGGTTGAACGACAGCTGCAAGACACTGAGGGACCGGCATGCATCATGCTCTCAGCGCGCACGCAATATCCAACCAGACTTGACTCTTGTGGGGGAAGAGACCGGCACGCTTGCAGACCTGACAAAAGCCCTGCAATGGCACGTACGTAGCCAGAAGTTCCGCCCCAAATGGCTGGGACACTCTTGTCTAGCCTCGCATCCCTTCACGGCCCACATGTTGGTGGCACGCAGATCTGTCAACGTGCAGCAAGCCCCGAGTTGTCGATAGGTCATAGCTCCGGCAGCCCATGGCCACGTTTTGCAGTTCAGTCATGTCATTATAAGTTACGCACGGGGCAAGTACGATATGCTAGACGTCTCCTGCCGTTGACCCCGAGTGCTGGTGAGCCGTTGTTGGCGGATGAAGCAGCCCTGGACAACGATACCGAGTCGGTGGGCCAGAACCATCCCATGTCCAAGGCGTCAACTGGTGCTTCACAAGAATGAAAATGACGTGTCAGTTTGCCAACACGCACCCAACTCCAGTCGTGCAGATGTCTTGCTGCTGTGCAACTACTACTACTACTGTAGACCGAACCACCCGCGATGCTGTGCAACATACAGCACAAGATCCAATATCCAGAGCCATGGGCAAGGCATTGGGTGGTGAAATAGAACCTGCAGGAACGTCAACGCCCCACTACCACGGCATCTCTTGTCAAGTACTCCGTACGGAGTTTTAATTTGAAGTCCGATACATCGCATATGCCATAAACCCACTGTTTTGAGGAGATGCTCCAGTACCCACGGGCACGGGGCTGTCGTTAGCCAAACTCTATAGGCGACATCTGGACTTTCCCAAAGATCTGGATTAGCAGGCTGCAAAGGGGTTCTCGTCCAGAGGCGCACCATGCTTTTAGCCTCTTATAGCCGGTTGCTCCCGGGACAAGAGGCACACCTCGATCACTGCTTGGAACATGTACATTTGCAACAACATGTCGCAATGCCTGACTATAGTTATGTTACTGAACCTTCAGTTTCCTGTCGCGCTGTATCTTCCGGCCCAAAGGGGAATACAAAGGTGATATTGCTACAACGGGACACCATCACAGTTGAGTTGGCCTTTGGTACTAGTACTCCCAGATATTACATAAAGTATACCCAATTTTCTTCAAGCTATGAGTGGAATGTTACATTACGTTCAAGCTAGTGGATACGACGTTCATAGTGCACCATGTCAAGCCTAGAACTAATCATCGTTTAACCCCACGACGTGGTTGCTCTTATACCCTGCGACTCCTAGATAAGCAACCATCTTTCTAGAGCATACTGATCAAAAACTTCATCACCATACTCTATGACTGGTCATGATCAGTGCTTCTGATGACATCTTTCCATTCATCCAATATCTCAAGGCTCTGTGAGCATTTATCCCTAATGACTCGTTCACAATCAGGCCCCAGCACCACCCTCACCGGGAGGTCCTTTCCGTGAGCAATTCCAGTTCCAGTCAACATATCTACAATAACCTTGCATCCTTTGACGACGTCGCCAGGCTGGTTGTTATCAATGACAAGCAGGTTCTTCCTTGTTTGCCCTGTGGGTGTTGTCTCGTCGTTATATACCTCTATGCGTTTTTGGGCGTTGACCATGACACCAGCATTGAGGAAAGACGTTCGAAAATAGCCGGGTTCGACCGTTGTAGCGCGAATCTGAAAGGGCGCCAATTCGTCTCTAAGTGATTCTGCCAGCGACGATGCGCAGGCTTTGGTCATGGCATAGATGGAAAAGCCGGCGCCACCTCTCCAGCTTCCCCCAGACTTCCAAACGTGACAATGGTACATCGCACGCCGTTGGGGGCTACTGGCTGCGCTCGTATGAGTGGCAGGAAGGCTCCAATCGTGCTCACAGTGCCAAACACGTTGGTGTTGAAAGAGTCGTAGATTTCCTGCCGCGAAACCTCCTCTACCGCGCCCTCTAGAATAAAGCCAGCCGCAATCACAAGGTAGTCGACTCGTCCGTGTTTCTCAAACACTTCCGCAGCAACAGACTCGATAGTTGAAAGAGAAGACGTGACGTCAAGAGCCAGGATGTCTGCACCTGCTTCGGCCAGGTCCTTGACGCGCTCCAGTTTTCGAGCAGTGGCGACGACAGTATGTCCGCGTTTCAGAGCTGCGAGAGCAATCTCGTGGCCGAAGCCGCTCGATGCAGCGGCGATGAACCAGACGGGCTTATGTTTCGACATTGTACCGAAACGTGTATCTATTTTAAAAGAATAGATTGTGTTCCCACTTCCTTCTATTTTCCTTGACTAGCTTTGGAAACGTGAAGAGGGATGATGGGAGCAGTGCCTAAAACAAGCATGGCGGATGCGCTCGTTTATGTAACAACAAGCCACTGCCCGGATGTACGTGCTTCGGAGTCGGAGCTTGGGTAACTTAATTCCCTTGATTGGAAGACGAATCGAAATTAATTCGGACATAACCTAGCCCTCACCAAAGCGCCTGTTTATTTATCACTCGGGCTGTCCTAACCGTTGGTGGCTAAACCCAACAGTATGGCGAGGGCGTGCGTGTAGGGTAGCGCCATTTGATCAAGATATTTCGGCGTTAGCTGACATGGAGCTTTCGTTTCGGCGATAAGCAGCCACCGAGACGTCACCAAAGAAGCGAAAGCTTGAATAGGACAAGTGGGTTTCAAGCAACACAAGAATTGAATCTGGATGCTCGCCCGTAAGTTGCACCGAAAGGTTCCACGGCGCACCAAGATGCGCTGACACGCGAGAAAGAGGTGGGGCATGGAGATGAGATGCATTCAATGTTGAATACCTAGGTAACCAGCAGCAGTCTGGTATGTAATCAATTCGTGATAGCAGACAACTCCCGCAGTCATTGCAGAGAATCAATTATAGATGTTAGGAGCCAATCGGAGAATGACAGATAAAGAGGTGCTGACATACTCTGTCTATATTCCCCGACTCTACAGAGCAATTACCTAGCCCGTATAAATCGCTGCAAAACGCCAGGCTCCTTTATCTATTCGCGGGGCCGATAACGCACGTGTCGCGTTGCATGTTGGGATGATGGGTGAGGGGACTCCACAATATCGACAGGCTGGTAATGCATACCTTCACGTGACGACATCAGACATTGAACGAAGCTCCGCCCCATCCGGGCGGCTCTCTCGCGTCGCGAACTCACGATGGTTCCAGCATCTCGTTCGCCATGAACGCTGCCCGACAAACGATTGGATAGAGCACGAGGCCCCGTGCAGGGTTTTCTTTTTATTTATTTTATTTTTCTTGTCAGCAAGCTTTTCGTTTTACGCCGTACATCATCGTACTCCGTACACCGTCACGAATCGCCACCGCATGCCGCCCCCGCTTATCGGCAGGTGTATCCACCGTCAATGACGAGATCAGCTCCGGTTGTGTAGGTGCTGGCGTCGGAAATCAGGTAAACATATGCACCCTTGAGCTCCTTGGCGAGTCCATTGCGGCCGAGGGGGATCATGGAGCGCCAGAGTTCCTGTGTCTGCGGGTCGATAAAGTCGGAGAGGCCAGTGTCGATGTAGCCCGGGGAAATCGAGTTGACTCGAGCAAAGTCGCGCCACTCGTTTGCCAGCGAGCGAGCCATGTGAATGCAGCCAGCCTTGGCGACATTGTACGATGTCTGCTCTTGAGGGTAGTTTGCAATGTGTCCAGACATGGACGCCGTGATGACAAAGGAGCCGTAGCCCTGCTTCTTGAAGTGAGCTCCCACGGCCTTGGCGCAGTAGGCAGTGCCGTTCAGGTCAATCTGGATGACCTTGTCCCAGGCAGCCGCAGTTCCGTCAATGACGCCAGCATCGGCTGTGGCACCGGCACTAATCCATTGCTGTTAGCATCATAGACTGCAGGGGGGAAGACGACGCGAGTTGAACATACTTGGCAATGAAGCCGTCAATCTTGCCAAAGTCACCAATAATCCCGTTGATGCATTGCTCAACGTCGTCGTAGTTGCTGACGTTGAGCTTGTAAGCCTTGACCTTGACTCCGTATTCCTTGGTCAGCGCCTCGACGTTCTTCTCGGCGCCCTCCTTTCGGGACGAGTAGGTTATGGCAACGTCAGCGCCCATTTCAGCACACCCGCGAGCAGCTTCAATGCCCATGCCGCGAGGACCCGAGGCGCCCGTCACGACGACAACCTTGCCTTTGAGGCTGAAGAGGTCAACGAGACGATCGGACTTGGGGACGGAGACGGGCATGATGATGATGAGGAGTAGGAGGAAGAATAAGAATAGGTATATAGAACGTGATTTGGTCTTGTGCGAAAAAGGCGACGGGTCGCAGAAGAGGTGATGAGGGGAAAAGGACTTGACTCGTTGCTTCCACCGAGGAGAGGAGGTCCCAAGCTTTTAACAAGGGTGGCGCTTCCTAGCCATTTTCTCAGACTGGCATCTGAGTTCAGGGTGAGACCACTCGGAGCTTCGTTTGCTGTTGAAGTCTGGGAGGGGACCCGGATAGCGCAGCTAGGACCCCACCAATGTCGTCACCAAAACCCGCGAGTTCCCAGTCAACCGTGACCAAGACGGAGCTGGGAGTGCTGGAGTTGTTTGGACGTTCGCGGGCTTGCCGCAGAGGATCCCCGACGTTGAGGATTTGTCGTGGCTGACCGCATCCAGAGGGCTGCCGGCACTTTGGAGTCTGGTATTTGTGGTGGCGGCTGCACACATGATTGGTTTGGCTTGTGAATCTAGTGTCTTATGTCAACCATTACATGAGCATGACCTGCGTCGCCGCCTTGTCCCCTTCTTGGCTTACCTGAGCCTCTGCATGCTGAGTAACCTCAAGGGGCTCGCTCCCCCGCATGAGGGTTTCGATGAGCGAATTGGCGGTTTTGACTAGTGATGTCTCGTCTGTCAAATATCGACGTAGTATTGATAATGGGCGACAAAAGCATCTGCCCAGACCTCGAGTGCTGGTAGAATGGGGGCTGACGCTGCGGGCTCGTCAGAAGCAAAGTGGGCGTCAAATTCGCTCTTCTTCTCAGTTGTCCTGGATATTCGCAAGTCACTTTGAGTTGGTTCCTGCCAAGGATTTCTTCGTTGTACGTCAATAATATTTTAGCTAAACAAATGGGCAATCCCTATCGCATCACCAATCCTCCCCGGGCAGAGCGATAAAAGTGCCCTTCTTGAGGCCATCAACGCCTCCAAGTGTAAGGGCAGCATTGACAACGCCTCCCAGTCCTTCACCAGCTATCAGGCCAGCGGCAACAGAGAAGGCATACATGTCAAAGTTTTTGCCAAAGTACTTCTTCCACCACCACGCCGTGATGCTGCCAAATAAAATGGCATTGGCGTATCCGCTATCAGCGCCCAGCACCCAAGCCACGCCGACCGCCATCCAGTTGGGAAGATAGTCCCGGTACTTCTCTCGAGGTCCAACAAGATAGAAGTTCTTGAAAGCGGCCTGCAGGGCAGCGACAACCCCCATGACAATGGAGAAAATGGTGCATGAAAGAGGAATGGGAATCTCGGGTGCCGTGACGGCCTGCGCAACCGCTTGCCACGCCACGACCGAGGGTGCCTTGAAGGGACATCGCATTACCTCTTCCTTTGGCAGGTCAGTACGCCATACACACGGGTAAGCAGACATGAAGAGAACAAATATTCCCGGCGCCAGGAAGACTGAGACCAACGCGCCTATGGCCTGGGCGTAGAATTGATACTTGGGGGGAGTCCTGAGCAAAAACCCAACGCGAAAGTCGGAAACCAGGCTGTTGGATACGTCTGCACACCCAGATGCAATATTACCGGCTATAAGGTTGATTCGCTGGGCGTCAGCGACCTTGTAACTACCCTTTGTGATGCCGCCGTACACCAACTGCGAGGCCTTGGATGATGCCGTCAGGGGTGCAGTGTCGGTGACCCCCCCGCCGTAGATGCTGAGGAAGGCAAAAAGGATTCCAAGTACACAGGCAAGGATTGCAAGTCCGGCGTTCATATCAAATTGGAAGTGGCAGACGAGACAGGACACGACGACCATGACAATGGTGCCGGGGCCCCAGATCCAACCCGGGACTTGCTGCTCTGGAGGCGCAAAGTCCTGGAGCAAGCTAGACTCTTCCTCGAGCTTGGCGGCTTGCTTCTCCAAGAAGGGGATACTCTTGCCCTTGGACTTGAGCCCCCCGTTGATTGACGAGGCCATGGACCTGAAGGCATACTTGGCACCGTCCCAAACCACTCGGATATGAAGCACGAACTCGACCAGGCTGTATGCGAGGAGAACCATGACGCCGGGCCACAGCATCCAATACCGAGGCGAAGGGACGAACCCGGGCTTGTTGATGTCGTTCAACTTGTTGAAGTTGGTCAATTCCGCCCACTTGCCTTCGCCGACCTGTTCGCCAATGCATTCGCCATAGTGCACCAAAAGAGGACCGATGAGGCCCCAGGCAACCACCGTACCGAGAAACCAGGAGAGGGCGGCATTGAGGCCGACTAGGATTCCGGAGCCAAAGAATGCTGGGGTCAATTGGATGTACCAGCCCCAGCTCTCAATATTGATGGCCCAGTTCGTGTATCCGCTCCTAGTCATCCATGTTAGAGTCAAGAACTTATCCGAGGGGCCGCAAAACGAACCAGGCATAGAACCAAGTGAATAGATGCCACTCGTGAAGAATACCGTTGGCATACTGAGATACAACAATGTGCGTCAAGGCGCCGAGGAATGAGAAGCCGAGCGCCTTGATCTTCCTCATGGCATCGCTTGCCCCCGACCCCACCGCATGCATGGATCGAATGGCCAAGGCAGTGGCGGTGGGAGTGGGGAAAACCAGGTTTAGCTCTCTTGCCACGTTAATGATAAAGAATTTGCGAAGAGGTACGGCGGCGAAGAGGCCAAAGAAGGCGCAGATGATGGTGATGGTGAGGATTCGAGGGAAATCGGATGTGGGATCCTCGGAAAGAAGGCCCAGGCGGTACATGGCAGGCAAACCGGCAACGAAGACACCCGACATGCCACCGGCGCCGGTAGCAGAAGCCTGAATGATGGAGTTCTCCTGGGGGCCGAACTTCATCCCGATCAGGGGAACGCCCGGGAGAAGCTTTGTGAGTAAGGTGATGATGCCGTAGCCGAAGATGGCGCCGAACATTGTTGCGCTGAATGTGAATCCCGTCTTGAGACCTGGGAATGCGTGGTTAGAACACCAGACCCCAGAGTTTTTTTTCTTTTTTCTTTTTTCTTTCTTTTTTCTTTCTTTC